ACATACAATTCGGAAAACGCCTTTATGAACCAACTTGTATTTGTTTTAATGTGTATATTTTTTGGGCTTAAACTATTATTAAAAATATAAATACGTTTTAGCTGGGGGACTTTAAAAACCGTACATAATTAACAGAGATGTAAATGGTTCAAAAAGCACATAAAGCACATATTATAGAAATTATATTTTAAAAAATAATTCTCAATAACCATCCTAATCAGCATTATTAAGCATATGATTTTTAAGGTCATTTTGTAATATAATAATTAAATAATAGAAGGTACGAAGAGCTATTGCTTTTGGGATCATTTTCGAAACTGTTGAAAAACTGAAACTAAATATGTTTTCCCACATTATTAAAGCTGATATTTCAATCGCGGCTCTATGCATATGACGACAGCAAACTATATAATATATAGTATCTCGATTCTCACACACGCAAAAAAAGGTAGTTTTTTGCGCATTCTCAGACCCAGAGATAGCATAGAAGATATCGACGTAGACAACTAATTTCCACGACAAAAAGTGCAACAATTAAATTGGCGAGTGTGAATTTCCGCTGACCAAGAAACGAAAACATGAGAGCCAAAAAACTACAAAAAAACAAGAAACAAAAATGCTATGGTGTAAAACCAACAGCAATTTGCGGGCCAAAAACTTCAAGTAGTCAAGGTCGCAGCGGGCAAATGTAATACTGGCATAAATTATGCTACTTACTGTACAGATGCAGAGACATATACACAGATACTTAGATACAAGTTCAGAAATACAGAGACAATTTGCAAAAGTTTTTTCATCGGTCTAACGGAAAGAGCGAGTTGCAAGCTCAAATTGCAATACAGTTGCAGCAGATGCAGCAGCAATTACAATTACCAATTGCAGCAGACGAGCATCGAGAACAGAACGTCGACATTCGCTGGGACATTATAATATTATAAGACTTGGCAAACAGAAATAAATAAATACAACCAGCGACAACTTTAGGACTAGCTCTCTGAATGAACACATAAGCAGCTACTCTTCACCTAATTGAGGTACATTAGCAATGCGAAAAAGCTGGCAAAGAGGTTAAAACTTGCTTGCAAAAACTGAACCCATGTCCATCTATTTCAGCAATACTTGGCAAATTAAATTTTATTTAAATGGTAAATTGTTTGTTTACCTGGTACCTTAAATGTTTTAAAAGCGCTCGGCCTTTGTGCATTGTCTACAAATTACAAATACAATAATGCCCATAAATTAGTAAATTATTTAGTTCCATTATGAGTCTATGTTCCTATTATGTGGATACTGTAATGTACTTTTCCCTTACAGTCCCATCGAGTTTCCATTGGGTTAGAGCATCCCCACATCGCAGTCGTCGGTCGTGTCTGCCACCTCATTGAACCCAACCGTGGCAGAGTTCAGCGCTTCGGATTGGGATTGGAATTGGAAGGGGTCGATGGATGGAGCGACTCAGACTGCGGGTAAACAATGCGGCGCTTGACAAAACTGTGTGCGAAAAAGGCAGACAACGCAAAAACAACAATTGAAATGAAAAACGAAACGAGCTGCAATTACAACGGCAGCAACTTCAGGCGGCAGTCTGCCAACTGCGGATGCAACATTGAAGCCTCTCCGCAGCGGCGGATATGGCAACAAGAGCATCTGCATCTGCATCTGCAGCGGAATCCGCAGCTGTTGCTGGTGGCCAATTGGCTAGGTGGCAAGTGAATAAAAGCCACCTCCACACCATCGAGTGGCATCAGTTGCAAGCAGCAAGCTACCAAGACCAAGCACCGAGGATAAAGCCACCCACAAGATGATGAAACTGGTAAGGATACCGCGGATTAACTCTGGCTGAGAACCAATCTGAGGATGTATAACCAACTCATAGGTAGTGTCGCTACTCTCCATTTGCGCCTTGGCGGCAGCTCGTCCTGGATTCCTGCACGGACACCACCACCACTATCCGGAGATCCCCTACTACCCCCACCACCACCATGTGGAGCCACTACACTACCATCTGCCCGCTGCCGTCTCCCACCAGAGCTCCACGGTGGTGCACAGTGTGCCGCACCACATAATCAAACCGGTCCTGCTGCCCACTGTGGTGAAGACAGTGGTGCATCCGCCCATCATCAAGGCTTACCATCCTGCGCCCATCATCAAGGCCTACCACCCCTACGATCCCTTCCACCTGCACCACCATCACGACTTCCACGATTACCACCTCCACTAATCGACGAACCTGACGATTGACCGATGATTGATAACGATAACTGAATGCCGATAACGACGACAGGGAGAATGCAACCTGTGTATGCTGTGTATGTTTGCGTGTGTCGATTGTTCATGTGTAAGGACCAACTGGAGGTTTCGCTGTAAGCTGCTGAATATTCTATTCCATCTATCTGTAAAGCTGTACATAAAAGATACAACACCTAAAGGTGGTGATTTTACTTGGGATAATGAAGAGCACAGCTCTTAAACGAATATCGGATATGGATTTTAAGATACAAAGGAGCTAGTAAATGGAAATAGCAAGTTTAGAATTTATATGCATACTTTTATTTAATCAAACGCATGTACATCTGTCACGTTTTGGTATCACGGAAATCCCTTCGGCTAAAAGTGATTCAATCACAATTCGCGTTCAAGTCCCAGTCATTTCTTATTAAAAGCTATGTACTTCTGTAATACTGCACTTACACAATAGAAATTAATCTGCTCTTCCTTTAAGGGGAAGTTAATACGTAAAGTGGCGTCAAATGCGATCGGGTATCTGTGCCGCGAAAAGTCACTTCCTTATTTAGCTGACATAATTAGCCCCTGGGTAATAGTAATTAACCGAAAAAACCATTCGATACAGCCGATGGGGGATAACACATTTCCCATGGTGACAACACACGTTGCCACTACATGTGGCAACCAAATGATTTTTCTGTTATGCAAATCAGTGCATAAGCAGATGATGAATGTCTATGTCTACGTCTATGCAAGGGAGACGAGGGCGGGGAATACATATCAGTCGGATGGGCCAATCGAGGTGATAAGTAGTTGTTGCTGCCACAGTTGCATGTAAGTTTTCATTGTACACAAGCAGGGTATGAAAATTCAGTCAGAAGGGATCCAGATCTATTTCAAGTTCAAGTCTGCTTGGCTTTTGCAATTGACTGTCTGTTTTGCATAAGCCAATGCAAATAGCCGCCGTACTTTACCCACACAACCCTCGATAAACTCGCATTCAGAACCAGCTTAATAGGCAAACATTGCCATAAAGCCAGTCTAATGGGACACTCAAACAGTTAATGTGACATGAACATCAATTAGATATTACCAATTTTCAATGTATATATGTAGATTGTTGGGTAGGGCAAAAGCAGTGGTGTTTCACAGAGGGGCTTATATAGAAGTCAATACTTCCTTGTTTGGTGCATTAAAATCAAATCAGAATCTATATCAATCACCAACTAGCCCTGAAAAAGTTTCGCTTTTTGTTTTGGCCGTCTTTTCATCGCTGAATTAGCCGCAAATCGGTTATGCTTTAAGCCAACTTTTCGAAATGGTTCGCTGACCGGCAAACGAGGCAAATGAAATAAAATAATAATCAAATAGTTTCGGCAAGGTAACCGCGGTTTTTGTAGTATTTTGCGGACACGTGATTCGGTAGCTTATTAAAGGTAAATAATCGAGCAATTGGCAAAATAGGAAACCTGTGAAGTTAAGGTGGGGTTTAAAATCGATAGCATTGAGAGATACAAAACATTTAAGTAAATTTATTTTTGTGCCATTTATGAGTATGGGACCATTTATACACGTTAGAATTAACTGGCTTACATTTAACTAAATTAAATATATGTCCATAGCTGGCGATATGGGAAACTTGACATACATTCTTGAAATTATAGCTAGCTTTATATTTTAGTTAGTTCGTTCAACAATTTGGATACACCATAAAATTAAATTACACATTTCTGTGTAGTAATGGTATGTAGTAAAAAGGGTGTTCTTTAAAAAATATTTCTTCGAAATGCAAATACATTTCCTGATCTCCACCTCTTGACGGCTTTGTAATAACTCACTGCCCGCGACAGTGATCATAAAATGTATCTGATGTGCCAGTGTCGCAGAATTGCACAAGACAAAATCGCTTTGGAGACAATCTCTGTCGATTGGCCGAGCCCCGGGGCAAGTTGGCTGACCAACCGAACTACCAACTGACCGCCGGCGTTATTGGCAAGTCACATTAATCAACGTTTCGCCAAGTTGGGACTTAATTTATGCAAGCCAAAAGTGCAAAGAGCAAGCCCCACCTCCTCTTCCCCGTTAGCTAAACTAAGCCGCTTGAGTAGATTCTTTTCTTGGACTCACATTACATATTTTCCCCCTGACATGATTCTATTTATTTGTTTGCTTAATTGTGCGACGCATGCAACAGTGTCAAGTATACGCCGCATGGTCCCCACAGCAAGTGGGAATGCGGAACGAGGAGGGAGTGAGTCCACTTAGAACATGTCTCGCGTTGCATAAATCATAAGGCGGCGAAATCGAATTGAATCGAATCAGATCGCATTGAAGTAGCCAGTCAACTGAGGGAGAACGAATGCACCGGGCGAAAAGTCTACACAGTTTTGGAAACATTCGACTTTAAAGTTATGTCGAAAGACAAGTTTAAGAGTAATACATTACAGTTTCTGATGATGATAACAGTATGGTATAGATAAACGGCTGAATTGGGGTCACAGATCGTAATTACTAGCTTATTTGTATTATTTAGAATATATTTCTGTCTGTGCATTTCGGTAACTCGAGAACCTGCCCCCGGAAGGGTTTTCATTCGGCTCGACTCAGTTGGTTCTGTGTGGCTTAACTTGGCCTGAATGCTGCGGCAAATGTGTTTGTTGCCGGGTGAAATGAGTGCAGAGTGCAGAGGCGTGTTGGCGACCCATTTGGAGAGCGCCAACTGCAGTTCCGATTATTCCGTATAAATAGGCCAGTCGGGAGTGCAATTCTATGTCAAATCGTTGCAAACCATCAACAAAACAAAATGTTCAAGCTGGTGAGTTCTTAAAGCCCAGAAAGACTATTCTTTGTAAGAAAAGGATTCTAAAAGTGGACATGTGCTGAGAAAAGTGGCATCCTTCTAATATATATATTTACATATTTCCCCAGTGCGTCTTCGTTGCTCTCCTTAGCCTGGCTGCCGCTGCCCCAGCTCCCGCTCCCGCTCCTGCTCCTGCTCCTGCTCCTGCTCCTGGACTTATTGCCCCTGGCCTGGTTGCACCTGGAATCTGGGGACCCACCGTCGTCGGATCGCCTCTGGTTGCTCCCCAAGTTGTGAGCGTGCTGCCAGGTGCCATTTCCCATGCAGCCATCACCCAGGTGCATCCTTCTCCTCTGCTGATCAAGAGCGTCCATGGCCTGGGACCCGTTGTGATCGGTTAATCCATTTGCCCATTGGAGATCCAGCCCCCACATATCTCACCCACACGCCAGCCAATCAGCTCCTGTTCTACCACACATTTCCTGCGGATAACTTCAGTCACCAGTCCTGTGCCCTGTGTATAATGCCAGCAAGTTCAGCAATGAGAAGAAAAAAATCACAAAAAAATGTTTAGACACTAAAATACATTTCAAGCAATAAATACCTACCATACTTGTTATAGCGAGCGAAATAGATTTTGCATTTACTTCACTTAAGTTGATTGCTGAAAAGAGACGACTTCGGACAAGATGGATGAGGTCCCGCCACCCTCTAGACAAATTAGAGTGGAACAGAGCTCAACATATTCTCCGTAAGAAACTGGTGGACCATAAAGCTGCATGGTTCGACGAGAGGCTTACCAACACTGGTACTGGAAGCGAAGCGAGGCATTCTCTATGGAAAGCGACGCGTAGTATAAAAAGGAGGTGCCCCAGGAAGGCACCACTAGCTAATGAGAACGGAACATGGTGTCGTTCTGACAAGGAACAAGCGGAAGTGTTTGCTAGGCACTTAGCTGAACGGTTCAAGCCCTTTAACCTTGCCAGCCAACAGGAAAAACAAGAAACGCAGGAAGTCCTCGAGCAAGCGCTGCAAATGGATGCACCGATTCTCCCGTTCGACCAATGTGAGATATCAGCGATCATAAACCGCCAATCCTCTAAAAGAGCACCAGGCCACGACATCATCTGCAACGCTACTCTGAAGGCGCTGCCTACTCACGCGATCTCTTACATAACGTTGATCTTCAACGCTATGTTGAGGTTGCATTACTTCCCTGCCCAGTGGAAATTTGGCTTAGTGAGTATGATCCACAAGCCCGGAAAGCCAGAGAGTGACCCAGCATCCTACCGGCCAATCAGTCTCCTCCCATCAATCTCGAAGATCTTTGAGAGACTTATCTCTGCCCGAATTGCTGGGATAATGTCATCCAGAAGAGCCATCCCTGATCACCAATTTGGATTTCGTGCAGGTCACAGTTCAATAGAACAACTGCACCGCATCGTTGACCAAATATTGCAAGCCTACGATGAGAAAGAATACTGCAATGCGCTCTTTTTGGACATTAAGGAAGCATTCGACCGAGTCTGGCATATTGGCCTATTGGCCAAAATAAAAATGACACTACCAGCACCGTATTACTTGCTAATGCGGTCCTACTTGGCGAATAGGCAGTTCGCAGTACGTTTCCACTCCGCAACCTCAGGGATACATGAGGTCAGTGCAGGAGTGCCTCAAGGAAGTGTACTGGGTCCATTATTGTACTGTCTGTATACCAACGATATGCCGCAGCCAAATGCTAGTATGGACGCCAACCCTGACAGGATGACTCTAGCCACTTTCGCCGATGACGTCTGTGTTACTTACAGATCATCCTGCGAATATGAAGCAGCAGACGGCCTACAAGAGTACGCTGACAGGTACGAGAAATGGGCAAGAAGATGGAATATTGGCATAAATGGTCAAAAGTCAGCTAACGTGTGCTTCTCACTAAGGAGGAAAACACCACCTGCTGTTCAACTAGGTGAGGAGATGGTACAGCAGTGTAGTACGGCCAAATATCTTGGCATAACATTAGATCGCCGGCTCACATTTGCTCCCCACATAGCAGCCATCAAAACAAGGGTGAGAGCAGCTGTGACAAAGCACTGGTGGCTCCTAAGAAGCAACAGTAAACTCTCCACCCGAAATAAGCTCACCCTATACAAGCAGGTCATTGCTCCCATCTGGCAATATGGTTGCCAAATCTGGGGGATAGCAAGAGATAGCCAAATCAAAAAAATTCAGGTGGCCCAGAACAAAATAGCGAGACAAATTACAGGCTGTGAGTGGTACATTCGAAATAGCGTGCTACATAGGGACCTAAAACTAGTTACGGTACTACAACAAATCAACTTCCACTCCAGTCGGTACAACTCAAGACTGATGAACCACAGGAATCGTCTCGCTAATGATCTCACCATTACTCGACCGAGGCAGAGGATCAAAAGACGTCAACCAAGAGACTTAGTGCTAAGATAACAATAGCTTAATAGCTAAACATTAATTATAAAACAACATGAGAGTATTAGACCAAACTAGAAAAAGCTATATTAAATATTCCCTATAGCCGGAGCGCCAATTGGCAGAAACAATAGAAAATAAGGTAATAAAAGGGTTCATAGCTATCCTGTATATCTTAATAAACTACAATAAAAAAAAAAAAAAAAAAAAAAAAAACTTAAGTTGATTTCTAGAGCAGCCCAAAAGTATACTCGAATAATATTTAAAAGGTATAAGACTTTTATAAGAAGTGAATGCAACAGAATCGATTTCACTGTGGTCTATACTACTTTTAATAAATATTTGTAATAAGTTCTGTGGAATTTTGCAAATAAGTAACAGATCTTAAAGAACTGTAATTCCATGTTCCATAAAGCTTACGAAATTATAGCTTTCCTGATGCTGTAAAAATATTGGAACACATTGATTAACTTGTTATGACAAAACGAAAAACATTTATTTAAACAAAAAATCGTAAATACTGTATCACATTTGCAACCTTAGTGGTGCAGGGTGTAGGCCAGAGGAGCGGAGTGCACCACCGACTTGAGGAGGGGAGCGGAGTGGACCAGAGGCACAGAGTGCACCACAGGAGCGGAGTGCACCACCGGCACAGAGTGGACGACTGGAGCGGCGTGGACAACGGGCACGGAGTGAACCACTGGAGCAGCGTGGACAGCAACGGCGGGTTGGGAGTAGGTGGTGGTCTTCACGATGGGAGCAACCACTGGCTGCACCACCGCCTTGCTGTGCACCTGGGTGATACTCTGGTGGGACACCGCCGAGGGAGCAGAGTGCACCACCGATCCGACCTTGGCCAGGACGGGCTCGTGCACCACATGGTGGGTCTCGATCAGACCGGCGCTGGCGGTGGCGACCAGGAGAGCGATGACGGCAACCTGTACGAGTAAATTGTTAGTTTTATCTCTCTTTTTGTACGAATCCTTTGGACTTACAAATTTGAACATCTTGAATAAGGTTTGGTTGGTTGTTTTTGGGGTAAGCTCAGAGAGATGACTGATGCTGGTGGAACCTGCAGATGAGGCTTATATAGCGACTAAGCAACACAGGCTAAGGGCTCAAAGAGCTAGAGACTTCGGCATCCGAAGTTGTCCACCTTGAGGGGCTTTTGATAAGGCACCATATACTTCAGACTTCGGGCTCCAACGATCTGAGCTTTTGGCTTTCGGCAGCTGCAGCAACGAGAAATCATAATGAGCTTACTCCGACTTGATTTTGGGTTTCGAATCTCCATCTGATCAAACTCGGGTCATACCGGGGCGTACTGAAGGTCAGCGGTTGGGCTTGAAGCGTTGGCATCGCTGGACTCGAGGTTCTATATAAGTTGGGTTGGCTGTTCCCAAGCATCATCAGTTCTCTAACGAATCTTCTCCAGCAACCACCAGCAGCACTCGTTCAAAAATACCAATATCAAAATGTTCAAATTCGTGAGTAACATAGTGTTTTATGCTCTGCAGCTGAACTAACCTTAGTTCATTCCCTACAGATCGCGGTCCTTGCTCTCCTCGTCGCCACCGCCAGCGCCGGTCTGATCGAGACCCACCAGGTGGTGCACGAGCCCGTCCTGGCCAAGGTTGGATCGGTGGTGCACTCTGCTCCCTCGGCGGTGTCCCACCAGAGCATCACCCAGGTGCACAGCAAGGCGGTGGTGCAGCCAGTGGTCGCTCCCATCGTGAAGACCACCACCTACTCCCAACCCGCCATTGCCGTCCACGCTGCTCCCGTGGTTCACTCCGTGCCCGTTGTCCACGCCGCTCCAGTCGTCCACTCTGTGCCGGTGGTGCACTCCGCTCCTGTGGTGCACTCTGTGCCTCTGGTCCACTCCGCTCCCCTCCTCAAGTCGGTGGTGCACTCCGCTCCTCTGGCCTACACCCTGCACCACTAAAGCCTTTGAATTGTTTGTTTGTTAACCAATTATATGAAAATAAATTCAAATTCTGAAAAGTATTATTGAACCTAACGTACGAAATATGTTGTATAACTCTGTATATGGGATTTGGGACTTTAATGTGTATTAAGATATTATAAATTATATTTAATACGGTTAATTCAGAGTGTCTGAAACATGCTAAAAAGAACTTTACATCGTTTCTTACAAAATCAATAGTTATCAGTACCCTAACTAGGTTGCACTTTTATTAAACAACAAATTAAATAAAGCACTTAAAGTCATCATCAAAAAGTAGTCACATTAAAAAATTCAATCCATTGTATTTATTTAGATATAAAAAAACATCTTGAAGTAAAATAAATTGCCAACTATCTAATGTAGCCTTCAAATCAGGCATCTTAATTTTACCAAATAAATCAACCGCATCCTTGTATATGGTAAATAATTTACAACAATTTATTCAAGCAATAACAAAGCAACAACAATGCACGGCTAATGCCCCAACGTAAAAGGTTTGCCATAAAAGCAAAGTTCAAGCCGAGGAGACACCGAATAGCCTGGGGTTAATGTGGGCAGATCCCTTGTCAAACTCCGATTACGAAAAGTGAGGTGGTGGCCAGAACAGTCGGAAACTTGCTCCACAGCAGGAAATGTCAGATTATGATGGATTTGGCAGGCCTGAACCAAAGCAAGGGCAATGATCACCAAGGTGTAGAGCAGCTGCAATGAAATTGAAAATGATTTTAAGTTGTAAATTTTATTTATGAAATATAATATAACAGAAATGTTTGGTATTTTTACTTACCATTCTATGCATGTTGAGGCAGCTGAAATTGGATCTAGTCTTAGTTTGAATTTGGCTCTGCGAAACTCCAGTAAGAACTCATGACCCAATGAGGCCTACGCACCGTTTATATAGCCCAATTGCCAATAGATTTGCCAAAATGACAAATGACACGCCAAATTCAACGAAGGTCTTACAACGGGGCTACTTAGCAAAACGATTGAATGGACCACAAAACGGTTTTGACGTTATTCGATCAGTGATCCGTAAAATAAGACAATTCGAACTGAGGCTTAGCTGAAGAAGTACTTACAAGTCACGCATATTAATTGTAGATAAAGAAAAAGAATACTTTAAAGCGCGAAAGATTTTCAAAAAATTTATAAGTACACCAACAATTTGGGGTCCTGCAATATGCTTTCATAAAAAAGATATTTCTTTTTAAAGACAATATTCAAATGTGATATTGTGAAATTGGAACAATTAGAGCGCGAAGCTGCGAAATACGTGTTGTACATTAATAAATGTAGCTAACATATGTTAACCCAAGTAGCTTGTTTCCCAACCCATAAAATACCGCTGCTACAAGCTGTTAAAAAATATAAACATTTAAATAAGTCAGCAACTTGTTTTTTATCCTGCGTTGACTGATTGAAGTGTTCGAACCACAGCCATAAAATAACAATCGGCGACCATCGCTCCATAAAATTACAGGGACCGCAAATTTATTTTCTGGGTATTCATTTTCCACATTACCAGATGCCAGATGGTTATCTTAAGTACGTGTAACTGTCGCTCGACCCAAAGTCGAGCCCCGAAAACTGAAAACACAGTGACACAGCCGGCGAAACCACAGCGTCCAGCTCGAAATTGTGGGTTAAGTGCGCGTGGGGCTTGTCCGGCGGATAACCTTGACATAGGGACTGGGTCTGAATCCGAATCTGAGAATGAGCATGGGTCTCAGTCGGGGGAATCGGGGAAAGGGGGCTCTTTATCTGTCACTCGAGCGGCACTTAACAGCCGCTGCAGTTGGAAGTTGGTAGCCGGCTCTTTATGGCCTGGCCATGAATCACTTGAGGAGCCGCAGCCATCAACTGGACGAAGGCGATGTTGCAACCCGCATCCAAATACGGCTCCAGCTTCAATTTGAATGCGCTTTTGTTTGCGGGTCGGGCGGGTCGATGAAGGGCAAAGTCTCGAGGGTTTTGATTTGGGTCAAGTTCAGGGTTCATATGAAGTGGGCTGTTCCGTCCTGCACTGCATGTACAGATTAAAAATTTAAATAGTATAGTATTTAGGATATTAATATCCTTACTGAACTAGTACAGAAAAATTATATTACAAGTATGAAGGCAAAAAACCGAAGCCTTCCTTCTAATGAAGTCCCTCGTTGATTTGTAACGCAGTCAAAAAACTGATTTGTCATTTGATCTATCATCATTTGCTTTTTGCAATCTATTTATAACAGCAAAGAGAAACGCCGAAGCAAACAATACGAATATCTTTATTCTTAGACACACTTATACTGTTCATATGACATAATTTGATTTCGTTCCATCAGAATTTCGTGTTCAACAAGTTTCCACAAATCAGGCTTGCTCCAAACCCAAGTCCATCGTGTGTCCCAAAATGTTACAACATCTTCGCACAGACTTGTATAAAAAACCCATTGGTTTGCAAAGGGCACCTTTATTCTCGGCGCATTCCCTTAATTTATGACCAAGTCTAGGCAACCAACCGGCAATCACACACCTCAGTTCGCAGACAATTGTCCTGGTCCCAACCTTTGATTATCTGCTGCTGTCAATGTTACCGAAGTTATGTGAGCAACTCTTATTAAATGCCTCGTCGATGGTATTTACACATTTGCACACATTGGTGCACTCATTAATAATGTGGCAAAAGGTCGCATAACGAGCACTGAAAGACGCATCCCATTCCCAGACAAGATGGGGATGAATCCCCAGGACGAGAATGCAACTCAATTACGCGCCGGATCAAGTGATTGTGAAAGGCCAACGAGGAGGAAGATCTAGTGTCGCCTGGTGAAGTGCAAGGACAAGGATATAAGGACATAAGGATAACCCACCCACGCACTCAATGGGATAGCCCAGCATCTGCAGTCTCATTTGCGTAAGCGACCGCATCTAAGGCCAATTACTTGGCCCATTGTCGATTGATTGGCCTGGCTTGTTGTCTCGACTTCTCGACTTCTCGACTTCCTCACAATCACCCACACACAGAGCCAAAGCTGCTGGAACCTAGGTCAGTTAACGAACTGCGTCTTTGATAAGCGCTTAGAAGCCAGAAAGCTGAAGACTGAAAGCCCGAATAAGTGTTTTACCTAAAAACCCAAACCGGTTGGCGGCTCAAGTTCAGCCAAGTACTTGCGACAAACAATTGGGCTTTGGACCAAACTAGGCAACTATAAAAACCCTGCGCTGGCCTGTCATCATCAGCAGTTGCAATCGATTCAGCAATCACAGCAAACCCCAAACCCCAATCCAAAGATGTTTAAATTCGTGAGTTGTCTAGGAGATGGAAGCTGAGTGCTGTCCTCTAACCCTTTATCCTCCTCCACAGGTCGCCTTCTTCGCCTGCCTGGCTGTGGCCGCCGCTGCCCCCGGTCTGATTGCCGAGACCCACTCGATTGTCCAGCCGGCGATTCTCGCCAAGACCGCCTACGTGGACACCAGCGCCTCCTCGGCCATCACCCACCAGAGCAACGTGAACCTGGTGCGCAAGGTCCCGGTGGTCTACTCCGCCCCGGTGGTTCATGCCGCCCCGGTGGTTCATGCCGCCCCGGTGGTCCATGCCGCCCCGGTGGTCCATGCCGCTCCCCTGGTTAAGACTGTGATCCCCGCCGCTCCCGTCATTAAGACTGTGGTGCCCGCAGCTCCTCTGCTCCACACTGTCATCCCTGCGGCTCCTCTGGTCAAGACCGTCATCCCAGCTGCTCCCATCATCAAGACCGTGATCCCTGCTGCCCCTCTGGTCCACACCGTCCACAGCGCCCCAGTTGTCTACTCTGCCTACCACAAGTAAATCGATTGAAAGCGAGCTCACATGGTTATGATACATTTGTTGTACGAGGAAATAAAAAAAAACATTGAAATTTAATTTAGTTACGATTTCTTGATATATTTATAAAATGTTTGGGTTTTTACTTCTACGCTTTTAAGCGATAACGCAGCTTCAAAAAATCCTTTACTTTAGTGCTCCCACTGACAGGCCTTTATTAAAAAGAAGAGGAAGCGCTGCAGTCAATTTTATCAACTATCGGATACCCACTCGACAAGTGGAAGAAATTTCAACATTTTGCTGGAAAATTGTCAAGAAAAAAAGTACAATGAAGGAAAATGAAAACATTTTTTAAAAGTGTGCTAGCACACACAAATACACAAATCGACAGACCAGATCGACTCGCCTAGTGCTCCTGATCCAGAATATATATACTCTATATGGTCGGAACGTTTCCTTCTACCTTTTACATACATTATGTAACATTGAATGCAAATTTTAATTGATATGTGCAGCATTAAAAAAAGTAGAAAGCCATTTACTCATATATAAGTATGCTTACAATTTATTTATTAACGCAGAAAAAAATACAATAATTGCCTTGCATAATTTATTTTTGGTGCTGCCTCTGGGCGGTTTCACTGTTGTGTTACACTTTTATTTATTTTAAGTTTTGGCACTCTGCTACCGACTCGAGATGGCGAATGAATACTAATGAATGCCACACTAAAAGCCTCTGAAGTAGATTATTCAAATGCTAATTGGATTGAATCAAATCGATCTGGTATTCAAAATTTTGCCAAAAAGATCAATGCCCAAAATTTCACATTTTCTATTATCAACAATTGAATTTATTCAATGAAGCAATCATAACAATCCGTTCGGGCAAACAGTTTCCTAGTGGTGGTAGACATGGGCCACTGGACTAGCTGCGATGGCGACAGTCTTGACCAGGGGAGCAACCACCGGGCTGATGATGGTCTTCTGGTGGTGCACCTGGGTGTGGCTCTGGTGGGAGACGGCATGGGGCAGAGTCTTCACCACGGGCACGGCAGCCACATGGTGGACAGCGGGAGCGACGTAGGTCTGGTGGTGCACCACGGGCACGGTCTTGATGAGGGGAACCACTGGAGCCACGTGCTTGACCACGGGAACGACGGGAGCCACATGCTTGACCACGGGAACGATGGGAGCCACAGGAACCACTGGAGCCACAGTCTTGATCACGGGAACAGCGGGCACCACATGCTTCACCACGGGAGTGAGCACGGCCTGGTTGTGGTACTGGGTGAAGCTCTGGTGGGAGGTGGCCAGTGGGGCACTGTGCACTACGGCACCTACTTTGGCCACAACGGGGGCGATGGCCACAGGGTGCTCCTCAATGAATCCCGGAGCAGCGGCGGCAATGGTGGCCAGGGCACAGATGGCAATCTGAATAAGAGAACAGCAAGTTAGACCCAGAAATATTTCCTCAAATCCCATACTCCAATACTTACGAAGCGGAACATGTTGATTTGGTTTTGAGGAGGTTTGAAGTCGACGAGTGACTGTTGCTGATTTCAAACCAAGTCTACGGCTTTATATGGCCAAAAATTTGCCAGCTAGATTGTCCTTCAGCGCAAACCAACTAACGAGCAATTGGCCAAAACTTGTTTGCTTTACATTGAACTTGAACCCGGCGCTAAACCCAGCATCTGCGAACCCTCACTTGGAAATCAGCCGACAACCAATTGTCGTTGGGCCCAAAAAGGTTTTCAAAGCCCGAACAATAACCCAGAAGATTGATACCACAAGCATAATGTTAGTTCAGGTTCAGAGAGCCCAGGCGAAGGTCTTTCGATTCATGACAGCAAACAAAACAAGATGAAATGCAATTTAATTCCAAACTATAAAAGACCACAATTAAGGGCACCGCGCGTCCAGTCCGGATTCATCGGAGCTCAGATGCGGCAGCGGTAGGTCAGGCAGGAGTATCCTGGTGAGGGAAACGAGGAAATCGGATAAGGCTTTCGAACACTGGGAATTTTGGGGGCTAAATGGTATTTGGATTAGGCCAGGTGCTGAATCAGGTTCTCGTCATCCGACCCGAAACTGTAAGGCTGAATTTCGACATGGGGGATTTGGTCGAATTGGGGGGTGGGCCCCAGTCGATTGCTGCTGGAAGATGAATTACCGATCACGTGGTTCTCTGTGTCGTCCTGGGTGCTTCTCAAGGAGCTCATGCACCGAGAGGTCGAGTTCACGAACTCGAAACCAACTCCCATTCGGGCCATGACGGGATGCTTGTATTGGGCGCGCCACGCCTGGTTGCAGCTCTCGTGGTACTCCAGGGCGGATTCGTCGGCCACATCCTCGGTGCATTGCAGCTGATGCAGTATTATGGCGGGACTGGACACCCAAATATCTCGGCGACTGGTATTCGACATGATTATCGCTGCAGCAAAGTAGTACTGTATCCTTATTTTTCAGACTTACTTTAAAAGTGGTTACGCACAGCCTGCTTGGTGCCACATATAATCGAATTTGGCAATAACAATCACTTTGCTGCACAGAAATTGTAAGCCAACACATTACAGATGCATCTGAATGGCAACAGTGCACACCGGTTGATTAAATACAAGATCAAAAATAAGAACGATTTTAGATTTTTCTTTGTTATGGTTTCCGAGTGAGAATGAATAACGTGCACATGCAGTTTCGTTGTTATACACACTGCCTTTATTTACACATTTAACTAACTAAAACTAAGCGCCTCCATTGCGATTCCATTGCCTAGCTACTCGGCACGTAGACCGGACTCAGATTAAGCTGCTCGTAGCCGGTGGCGCCGCCCTCCTGCGTTGCCTTCGTGTGGAAGGTTCGATTGAGGTTGGTGGGCTCCACGTAGCCCAGTGCCCGGCCCATGGGCGCGATGACGAAGCGGGTCTGGGCCTGCGAGGAGCCCTGGTAGGAGACCACCGAGGGCGCTGAGTCGATGAGCAGACGGGGCGTCTCCGTCGCCGGCTTGGCCAGAACCAGAGCCACGTAAATAACGGCCAGAAGTACCTAAAGGGGTCGTAGGTTAGAGTTTAGTAGAGTTTTACAATAAGAAATACAAGAAGTGGCGTTAGTTCTGGAAAGTGTGCTTAGAAAAGTTATTATAGGTGGAGGGTAGAGCTAAACCTTCAATTAAACGTTAAAAACCGCCATATGTTAATTTTATTTTAGTATTATCACAGTTTTTTCAACAATTGAACAAACATGATTTATAAATAAGTTACTTAAACCGACATAAAATATATTGAAATACATTCTGAAATGCCTTAACCCACCCCACCCTGTTTGGGAATGATCATCCCACTCACCAGATGCCGCATGGTAACGATCCGAGCCCAATGGGAGCGTTTAAGTCACTGAGAACAGCGCCGACGAACGGAGTGGGCGGATCGGATCGGATCGGATCGGATGGGATGGAGTCGAATCGAAGCGAGGACTGGAGGCTCCCCTTCCAAGTAGCAAACACAAAGCGGAGCGAGTGGCAAAGTCAAACTGAAGTGCTGTGCGAATTGCTGTGCCATGAAATCACGGTGGAGCAGTGGCTGGCCCAAGCAGGGGCGGGCGTGGAGCATGCCAAGGGGGTGGATCCATCGATGGAGCCCCCTCGCACAGCCCCTGGAGAACGGCGCGATCTGCGATCGAAGCGTTGGAAACACGCGCGCAGTCGCGGTTATCTTGCAATTGTGGGAGTGTCTCAACTTGGACGCAGCTTTACGTAAAGAAATAAACCGAAAAAAATCAAATATAAATAAATAAATGCCTAATGCCGCAAATACTGTAGTAATAGCACCGCAACAACAAAGCCTACAACATGCGACGCCGTCTGCGTCTGCGCAACTCGCTGAAGGTTGATCCACTCCGCTCCACTTCGCACCTCCGCCGCCCGCCCCCGCACCACCAACTTTTGTGGTCGATAGCTTGCTTGCTCTGGCAGCTATAGCCGGCTAGGAAATACCCTTCACGTTGAAGGCTTGATAAAAAAAACCTATTATGAATTTACAAAGAAACGGAAATACAATTTAGCATCTGTACCTGGCAAATCAGAATTTAATAAAAAACAAATTATAAAAAAACAGAATTTTAAGTGTTTTCTTACTTTAGTGATGTGGTGGGAATTTAATCATGCTAAGCCCCAATTTGTATGCATTTCCCTAACCTTCTGTTGCAGATATAAGCTGTACGATTTTGTATTTGCAGGGTATTTCAGGCAGCAATACCAATAGGTAGTTGGCACTAGAGTTTTCAATAGCTAAACTTGCTGTCGTGGCTTCGCACAATCGCCGGCAATCCGGCAATCTGGCAATCCGGCCATGTTGAGTCAGTCAGTCAGTTAGCCGATTAGCCGGAGGCGCGTAATGGAAGCTCTAAGTGCACGCAGCCCATGAGAGGCTGTCGTATTGGAGTAGCTTTTGATTAATTAATTAGCTTCACACAAAATGGCCCATAAATCTTTCGGCGGCAAGACAGGGCGACCTCTTGGTCAAGGAGTCCTCGGGGCCAGGTCCGGCTATAAATGGCGGCGGCACATGTCTAACGGTAATTAGTTGCCCACTCAAGTGACCATCATGCACATCACGGTGAGTAATCTCCATAGTTTTGTCCGAGCTCCCAGCTTCCAGCTGCCAGCTCCCACTGGTTCTGATTCCCCCATTCCACCCAACAGGTTGTTTGCCTCGTATTCACCTGGAGCCTGAGCCACAGTCACGCAGCCACGACAATCCTGCATGGCAACGGACAGGTGGCCAGTGCAATTTCCCACCAGAGCTTCACCAGATTATCGTCAGCGGAGCCACTAGCCCTTCGGTCCCGAAAGCAGCCACATCCGCTGCTCGTTCCTTCCGCCAGGATTGTTAACCATCACCAGGCAGGGGAACGACAACAGGTCGAGAGGTTCTTCCAGGCAGCAGCGGCGGAGGAGGAGGTCCAGCGGGCTCCCATCTCTGGACAGACACCCGCCCACCTCACCTACGCCGCCCATCCTGTGGTGCACCAGATGCTGCCAAGGATTAAGCCCGTGCGAAACATCAGCTACGCCTCCCTGACCCCAGGACCTCGCAACCTTAACACCCATACCAATCGGAACTTGTCACCCGTTTGATATTAAGACCTTGGAAATAGATGTCTAGAAACTAGTTATTCATAAGTTGTAACGGCTAACGTACATCATAGCTTATAAAACCACATTTTTAAACATGTCTTCCAATTTAACTACTAAATCATGAGCGGCAACACTTAACAATCCAAATTAAAAATCTCAAATACGTTTTATCAAGGTTCAACTTATTTGGAGATTCCAAGTTGATATTGCATTAATTATCATTCCCAAGTTTTGCACTGTTATTATTTTGCTAGCCATGACAACTATTATTATTTGCACTCAAATATCCACACAAGTACAGACACCTAAGTTTCGCTTGTCAATATTTTCGTTTACGCAAATTCCGTTCACAATAATAATTATTTTAAATGTAGATGAAATACTTTTAGTCAACAAATTATACAGATTCGAGAAGCCAAAATTTGGTATCAGCATCAGGAGTCTCCGAGAAGGAGTGGGGCAGCTAGCTAATCGAGGGATGAATGCTCGGCTGATCCTGAAGCAGCTTCCCAACCACTTGATCTTTCGCATCCTGCACTATTCCCTGATCTCCCAGCAACTGCGGGACGAACTGGTAGTCTCTGCAGGATCCTTCAGATTAAAAGGGGGTGGAAACAAGGTGCTGGAGTGGCAGCCCTTCGTCCTGTGGCTTGCTAACCTGCTGCTGAACTACGCTGGCGATATCCTGGGCAACCTGCTCTTGGGCAGGCTCCCATTGGAACCACTGTGTAATACGGCGGATATTCTGCTCAGTTCGTTGATCTGGTGAGTGGGACCTATAGGCCTTAAAACACTTGTAAGCTTAGATTACTTAGATTTATTTCCAATCAAGTAGGTACTGCATCTTCTACTGTCCCTTCGACCTGGGCCACGCCGTGACCAGCACTTTGGCCTTTCGCATCCTGGCCACCGCCATGTCCACAATAAGCCAGGTTCAGCTGATCGACCGAGGAGTCCACTTGGCGGGACAGGCTTACGGAAATGCCCCTTTTCCTATGCTAGTGGTGGGCACTGTCATGGGCAGTGGAGCCGAAGTACTGAAACCGGTGGCGAGTCTCTTAATCAATAGATGTCAACACAACCAGCTGGCATTCCTGAAGTTGAGCAGGTCTGCTACATAAACACATTTCATTTAAAACGGAAACCTAACATTTCCCTTTCACAGCACCTCCAAAGTGGCACTTCTCCTCTCCCTACTCTTCATCTTGGAAATCTATAAAAACCCCATGATTATGGGCTTCAACAGACATCAGCTGATGGTCTACATACTCGTAATGACCACCGCACTTAAGTTTCTGTCGCTGTGCTATCGAACGGATCACTTCCTTTGGCTATTGGAGCACCAGATACGGTACACTCTTTTTGGTGGCTTCTCTAGGGATTTAAGCAAGTTCTTCCAACGCCCGCCGGAGCCTAAAGTCCGGCGAACGTGGACGTTTGCGGAATTTGATTGAAACTCTCGTGTGTATTGCGCAATCGTATCAAACCACACGCTCTCCACATCCCCTCCAGATTGGGTGGTAAGGGTGTGGGGCTGCAGGTCTAAGCGGCTTAAGTTACCGCCCCGTCCAGCCAAGCGATTGGATCACTGCAGCAGATGTCTCGCTTGATCGGGTTACGTGTGCTAATCAGCTTAGAAGCGCCCACTGGTGGGCAGAGGAGCGATGGAGCAGCGGGTGAAGTGCTCGGTTACGGCCACAGGTTAGTGGATGCTCCAGTGTGCTCATCCAGCTGTACCGTGAAACGTATGCCTGAGTATAAATTCGTGCATTTCAATACAAAATAGAAAACTAAACAACTAAATATTTTTTATTCGGTAATGATAATATAATAATTATTATTAATAACAATAATTTGTGTTGTCAAGGTTTAACAATAAGAATATAACAAGAAAGGAAACTGACTTCGACAAACCGAAGCTTAAACACCCTTGGAGTAATTATATGTTACACAAAAACTGATGCACTCTAAATATAAGGGCATGGTGATAAAAAAGAAATATTTTTTTAGTTTCGACTTATACATTACCTGCATTAGAAAGACTTTTTGGAAAGCTTTAAAACTGGGCGACTAGTTTCCGTAGAAACGGGCAGAGGACATGTCTACTTGAACTCGACTGTTGCTTGCTCAAAAATATATTATATACTTTATATTGTTGCAAATGTCTCCCTACTACGTTCGACCGACCAAAACCAAAATATAAATAAAAATGTTTCTGAAATTCTTTTTTATCAGAAAGTAACCGTTGTTTAATCTGCTCTTGCGTACATTAATTATATTTCCATGTTTAACCAGATAACTTATCAAAATGTTATCCAATAAAAAAGTTAGTCCCCGCAAGAATATGAACCCAAGCCCAAAGAGGACTAAGAAGAACCCATCTGCCATTATATCCATCCTCTGTCCAGATGCCGATAAGCCCCCGAAGGAACCTAATCCCTTAAAAGAATCCGGGCCCGATGGCTTTCAGGCCAAGGAATGTCCGCGAACGAAAAGCTTCAGGCCACCAGAAGACAGGCGAAAATATCTGGAACAGGAGGTGGTTCCCATTCTAATGGAGGGCATGTTGGGAGTGGCCCGCGAAATGCCCCGCGATCCGATTGGTTATCTGCAGAAGTTTTGGCTTAACGACAAGCACAAGTGTGACATTCCACTGCCGCAGAATATTCTGTAATACATGTATCTGGTGTAACCCAATCAAATTTCAAATTGTCAGCTAATTAAATGTTTCTGGTTCGATGTTTAGCTTACTCAATGATGCATTTCTTTAGGCAGTCAAGCGAAAGATTCAGCCGAGATTTAAGGGCTATAAAAGCAGATATTCTAATCTTAAACTGCATCATTCGCTCTACAGCTTACGGATTTGAAGGGAGACTCCTGTAATCATGTCTAGATTGGTAAATCATTTCTTACTTAATGGGGAGAAACAAATCCATTCAATACTTAAATATTTCACATATTTTAGTTCCTGCCCGTCTTGGCCATTGTGCTATTATCCGCTGGAGCTTCGCATGCAGCCAGCTTGGAATGGCCCTCGAATCTGGTGGCCCTCAGCTCGGTCAAGTCCTCGCAGCTACTTCCTATTGCCAGCGAGGATTCCGTTGAGTTAGCCGATGGCAGTTCGGGGTCCGTCAGCTCATCCGCTGCCCAGCCGGAAGAGCCAGCCCAGGAGGAGGCGGAAGAGGAACAGCTGTCCTCCGCATCCAGTGGCAGTGCAGATCCGATTGGTGCTCGCCTTGTCTCTGCCGGAATCCCCGTCTCGGTGCCTCTTCCTCTGATTCTGGCCGCTCGTAATGGACTTCGAACCGTATTGACTATCCAGGAGCCAGCCGTGGCCAAGGTGGGTGAGGTGGTGCAGCACGTGCCCACTGCCGTTTCGCATCAGAGCCAGACGGTGGTGCACGATCACCGCCGATTGGTCACACCCATAGTAGCTCCTGCTGTTCGCACCACCCAGGTTATTCGCCAGCAGCCACCACTTCTGTGGACCGTGGCCTCCGATCCCCGAGTGGTCCTCATCCGCAACTGAGGATCCATGCCAAAGATAAACAAGACGAACTCGCCAAATCTATGATACTTCCATTCTTAATTTCCTTTCTGGACCTAGCTCACAAAATGCTGTCCCCCTACTTCTTCTTTCTTCTGCCATTTTCTGTAGAATTCTTCTGTAGTGTGCTTTCAATAAAGATTTCGCATTTAAATGATTTTCTTTTTTCATAAAATCAAAAAAAAAACTTTAAATAAAGCTTGTATGATATATTTATATGCACATAGTTATTAATTACTGTGCCTATGGCTTTAATGCCTTTTTAAAACTTGCTCTTCTACATCGTAGTTTCCATACAACACTTGCTAGCATATCTTATGTAAAATTATTGTCCTGCATTTGCGTATTACGAACCGATTGCATTTTCACTTATCTGGCTCGGATTCATGGGCGTTGTTAGTGCGACAGGAAATCAATAAAGTCAGCACAGAGACCAGCCCACGACCACAATAAATATGCCACATCCGCCCCCTGTTACCAACGAAATCTCAAATTGTGTGCAATCAAGATCTCTGGAGGATTAGGCAGGCACAGGGTCTGGGTTAACGCCCAAGCTCTTCTCATGTTCAAGGGCTGGGACCATTCATTTAGAATGGCTGGTCCATTCTCCAATCTTGAGTTCTTAGCTGGACTATAAAAGCGGAGGATAGAATGGGCAACGAACAACAGTCAAGTGAAGTGAACTGAACCAAGAAGATGTCACAGAGTATGGTAAGTGAAGAGGAGCATTTTAAGACATTTAAATACTTTTAAATCTAAAATATTCCACTTTTCTCCAACAGAACTTTTCCTTTGCTCTCTTGTTTTGCCTTTTGGCACTTGCAAATGCTGATCTACAAATGTACCATCCCTTGATGACCCTGCACCACCAACCAACTTTTGCCAAGGTGGGTCATCTGGTGGAGCAGGTGCCCACCGCAGTTTCCCACCAGAGTGCCACCATCGTTCATCGCAGTGTTCCAAGGATAACATCACTGTTGACACCTGCTTTGAGGTCCACCTACCTGAACTATCCCACCTGGAGTTATCCACTCATCGATTGGACCAACACGGTGTACAGAAAGTAGGCATCTGAATTGGGTACAATTCGAATAATTGGGCTACCAAACTTTGGCTTTGATCAATAAAACAAATGCCCCAATCCCCCAAAAACACTTTGTTTCGCATTTGAATGGGGAGCGTGGGCTTATCCCAACTGGATTGAGGGGAGATGATTTCGCGCTACGCTGCACTTCTGATTGGGTGTGACTCAACTGACGTCATCAGACGAGCAAACAAACGCACGAGGTAGGCAATGCTTTGGTGTCCTGTTCTCAAGGATATTTTAGGGGAATATTGAGTTCAATGACGCAGCTCGTAGACCCATCTTGAAATTCGAGTATATGTATAAAACAATACTAAGTAGGCAAGGTGGGAATTTAAAGAATACAGATGGAGAAGAAAAGATAAGAATTACTATTACCATTATTACTAATTCACATTTTATTTATTGCAGAACAATTGCAACGAAATATATAATTAAAGAATGCAATAAAGCATCAACTTGTTTCACACCAAATCAAACCTTCCAGTATGAACACCGAATGAAGGAGTATCTTACAGGTCACATACCCCACAGCTCAGATACTTTTGGGTGCATTGATGCAAGGATGATTGACGTGCCGAACGCAAATGTTTCGGCATTATTTCAGGATCCTGGAGGCTGTTGTACTCTCCTGAATTAGGAATAGGAATGCCCCAGGGTCAGTAGCCGAAGATCTAGCAATGTTCCCAGAAGAGCAGAGGAGGTGAAGAGTGTACAAATTTAGGACTTTCACCCAGAGTATGTATGTGATATTTCTTACAAAGGACAACAAATGGAAGCCCTGGGATGTGTCTACCATTTCTTTTAAAAACTAAGATAATGGAGTTTCAAATGACACAGTGGAAATAACGAACCCAGAGAAGACCAAAGGTTAAGTCCCGGCCGATAGTCAAAAGCCGGTTATGCAATCGGCAAAGGACTCATTGATGTCAATTAACCACGTAAACCACCTGCTGGGCAAAATGACGCAGAGCGCTTAAAGGGGTAAGTAATGCAATGGCATATAGTATATAGTTCGGCATTATCGGATTACACAAGAAGGAGGTTGTTAAGCTGCTGCATTAAGGTCAAAGCATCAAGGTGCCCAGAACAGTTTGCTTATCGATTGATGCACAAATGCATTGTCTCTGTCGAGCACTCAATACCTGTCATTTACAGGAAATCCAGCCAACTCAGTGATGTAATTCGAAAGAGGCGTAGATTCCATCGCTCCTCCTCCCGGCATCATCATCATCATCACAATCGTCATCATGGGTTTTGTTTCCCAGTCTGCAACACAGCAGCCTTTTGGGCTCACACCATTTAAAGCAGATGGACCGCCCAAAAGGCTGCTCCGCAAAACCGCACAATGAAGACCCCAACATGGGGCGCCATTCCCATGCCTCTTGGAAACCCGAGGTTCATTGCATCTCCCTGGGTCTGGGCCTTGATTGGGCTATATGGCTATATGGTATGGCCACTCTCAATTGGCCCAGTGGGTGATTTGGGTGCTCGACTGCTGGGTAATCGGTTTGTTTGTCTATCACAACCGCCATTTGAATGCATCGTTATGCTGTCATCTTAACGACTCTAAGCACTAAAAGGGCCAGCCATCCTGGGGGTCTATAGGGAATTTAATAACTTAAATCCAGAAGAAGGAGAATGAAATTCCGTCTGTTCAAATCAAAGGAAAGCCACTTAGCATAAGTGGAGAGCAGCAAAAATGAAGCTTTCCCAGAACTTGGCCCCCAAAACATATTAAATATTTGATGTAATCGAGAAGCTCCAACTTAAAGCGCAATTATTGGGTAACTTTCGTTACCCAAAGGAGGGTTTCACTTAAAGCGGAAATATCTGCGCAGGGGGAGAACAACAGACCCCATCCCAAACTTTCCGGTGTGGCAAGCAACGGTTTTCAAATTAATTTACAAATGTTCAGAGCTCGTTGGTACATTTTGTTGAGCCCAGATGAAGACAATAAGCCGAGTTAAATGAGCCAGGCAGTAAAAGAGTAGTGAAAGGGCAGCAGCAGCAGCAAAAGCATTTGATGCGGGTGAAATAATTCGGGATATTATGTAATAACTATGGGGAATAAGTGGGAGCAAAAGATGTCTGCTGGCGACATGACTCACCCACTCCGCCCTTTAAGACCACACTCCATTCATCCGTATGCATATCACACAATGTGGGTGAACGACCTTGGCGTTTTTGGCCAACTATGATGATTACAATAATAAAACAATAAACCTTAACATACGCATCGATTTTATTACTAGCCATTTCGCAAATAACACTACGAATCTGAGACGAAAACAAAAGCGGCAAACTCATTCGCATGCCAGGCACACAAACCGAATCGAAGCCACAACAAATCGACTCCGAATATGTGAATCATAAGCCCGGCTCACTGCACCGCACTCGACTGCATTATTACGCAAGCCCCACTAAATCCAACCATGCGCTGCTGGCCACAAACTTGACTGGGGTTTTCCCAAGGCCCAAAAGCTGCTAAAGCTGGCAGCAGGCAATCAAGAATTGAATAGGCCAACACTGCGAGACCAAAAACTTCAGTTCGGTTTTCTTGGGATTTTCCAGTGGGGGATTGGCGAATATTTTTTGGGCAAATCCATGGCACAATTGCATATGCAGTAAAAAGCGAAATGCAATCGCACACACTGGGAAAAAACAAGGTTTATTTTCCAAATATATTAGTAAGTCAAAAATATGTTCAAATCGATTAAACTGAAATAGTTCATATACTAATGTAATCGATTGATTATGATTCTGATGTGGAAAAAGTCATCGAACAAATATAAAAACAAGAGAGAACGCTATAGTCAAGTTTCTCGACTATCAGATACCCGTTACTCAACTACTCAGCAGTGCAAACAAGAAAGTTGAACATTCTTTTTGGCATTCTTTCAATAGGCAAACAAAATAATGAAATTATAATTATAGCATTTATAATTTCTGAGATCTCGACGGTCCGTAGATCGTAGGACATAGCCAGATCAACTCGGCTATTGACCCTGTTCAAAAATATGTATACCTTATAGGGTCGGAAACGCTTCCTTCTACCTGTTACATACTTTTCAACGAATCTAGTATACCCTTTTACTATAAGAGTGACTGTTATAACAATGAAATTATAAGAGGACTTCAGCTTTAACTAAAACCTACCATAAATGAAGATAGTTTCTAACTGCCTTGTTTAATTTCAATCGTCGTACAGAAAAATGCGTGCTGGGTTGATTTGATCTCCTCAAAATTTAAGCTCTAAATCCATAATCAATATACGATGTATGTAGTTCGCTTAAAGAGATTGCCAAATTGTCATAAGCCAAATGGTGCGTGTGGGTGGAAGACCTCAACTTGTTGAGCAATTGACACAAATCTAAGTCAGGGAGTCGGCATTTCAGCCTTGAGCCAGTGACAATATTTCTTTATTTGTTTTTTGCTTTTGAATTTGAACCGGCGACACTTGTATGAGAAGGTGGAAAAGAGATAGGTATAGTAGCAGAAAGAGAAGGAGAGAGTGATTCAGTCGGAGGAAGCTAACAAAGTAGAGCAAACACGATTCCCACACAAATCCATTTGGGCAAACAATTAACAAGTTGGCCATAATCAAGATAAACCATGTTGTAATACTGCGGCCCAAGAAATGTGCAAGTTGGAGCGCACCATAAACAGAAATAAGTATATGCCAAATCCGAATTAAAGATCCAATACCGAGCCCCTGAACCTGTAACCCCATCGGATTACAAACTGTCCACCTGGCATTACTTGTCTCCGGCGAGGTCCAAGTTCAAGTTCAGTTCATCAGCCGCTGGGATTTACCAATAGCCAAGTTTCAGCTAACTACCAAAATTATTTTTATCACAAAAAAACATTTTAGACAGCAGCAAGTCGCAATGGTAGATACACTATATAGATATGGAAATATAATTTATATTTTACTGCAGATTGTGCTGTAATATCAGCTTAATTTGATATTTAAATATAATGTATTTATATTTAAATGATATATGAAATATATGATTTAAACGTTAATTGATTATGATAATCATGTTTGGTAGTTCTTCAACCAATGG